ATGAAGAAGATGCCTATGCCGCCTAAGTCCAACCAACAACCCGAACCTCAAAATCATTCAAAACTCAAACAAAACAGAAGACACAAAAATTCCCAAAATTTTAAGAACTATACATTTCACAAAAATAGTAAAGTTTCATGAAGAGAAAGTTAGAGACACATGGATCATTGTGTGGGAAAATGAAGACGTATTAAGATGAAAAGGAAAGAAAGAAATAGCGTGAAGAAGTAAAAATGCTGTCACAAAAGAGATTGTCAGAATGAGGAAAAAGAAAGAAAGGCGTGAAGAAGTAAAAATGCTTACTGTCACAACAGTTTTTTTCTCCAATTCACACGCAAACATTCAATGAAACCATTACAGTGCACAATTATTTATTACAAAATACTGTCCACAAATGTTTTTCACAATAAAAAAATTTCAGGGACACGGTAGCATGGTACGAGTCCATAAAAACAGTGGCCAGAAAAACAGCCTCTTTTATTTTAGGGATTGTGCTACCTGCACGTTACTTTGCACAAATATGTACAGGTACATGCACATGGAGATGGACCTTATATATGGAATCACATGTAGGGTCTACTGTGCAATTGAACATGTGCAAATAGCTTTTCCCTCATTTTGGTAGTGAGACACAGTAGCAGGGCACAAGTCCATAGAAACAATAGGCACAAAAACTGGCTCTGTTATTTTAATAGTGACATGTAAGATATTTTATTACATAAATAAGTGAAAAAACAATCCTACAAGAAACTATAAAATAACCCATTATTTGAATTATATTATTTTTATAAAAATGTATTTTTAAATAGTATATTGATAGAAAATGTGTGATTAAAAAGTAATAAAATTTTTAAAATTTTCATATAATATTATTTTATTAAAAAATATATAATTAAAATGACGTCAAATTACTATTTTAATTTCCTACTGATACAAATTTCCTCGATCACATATCATTCAATTGTCAATTCACAACTTCATTACCTAGTGCCTTTACCTTACTTATCAATCTTTGATTCTCTGCCACGAGTAAGCAAAAATGAATTTTTTTTCATTCAAGATTAATGGTGAAAAAAGTCTGAATATTAGGGTTCTAACAAATGGAAGAAAACCTTCAAGCAGCAAAACGTTTTTTCAAAGTTATGACACGTGATTTTCACACTAAATTGGTATGTTTTTCTTCTTGGATTTGCATTCTTTAACGTCAATTTCTTCTGTGCTTCTTTTCAATCTAACTGATGAAAAGAATAGATATTCTGTAGAATAATTCTAAGAAAATAATCTTTTGGGTTTATGTGGATGCTGATTCTCCTTTGCCATTGATATAACATTTTACCATCTTTTTCCATTTGATAATTTTGATCTATGGGCAGGCCCTACCAAAATCTTTTTGTGAAGGTCTAGTAAATGTAAAGAAATCAGCAATTATAAGGAGTGGCAAGGGAAGCTGGAAGGTCAAGGTCAGCAAAGATGGTAACAGTATGGCGTGTTTCGAAAAGGGATGGGGTGACTTTGTTCGTCAACATGAGCTCTCTGTTGGAGATGTTGTCGTGTTTAAACACATTGGAGAAATGTATTTCAACGCTTTTGTTTTTGATTTTACTGCCTGTGAGAAAGAATTCGACGAGAGTTTAGCCAAAACAAATGAAGGATCTAATAATTTGGAAGCCATCAAGAGTAAGTTTTGTCTTCCGTTTTGGGTATCGGATTTTTTTTTTTTTCTCTTTTTTTTTTTCGAAGTCTTGAGTTTGGAAATATCAGAACCCCAATTCAAATCCTTTAATTCCAAACCTCCAATTAGGAAGATATGGGTTCAAAACCCAATTCAAAATCAATAGAAGTACTGGCAAGAAAAGGCTAGCATAAGCAGAAGCCCTTACGGGCACCATAACTATGAAGAGAGCTCTCATGGCCATCACAGTCATAGTAGGAGATATAAGCATGACGCGCAAAAGTACAATTTATAGTCGTAAGAGGCTGAAGCAGGAGCCCAGGTGGAAGGAGGGATCACAATCCTTTTTGGGAAGGTAGTGAAGAGAGGCGAGCTAAAATTGAGCAATGGAACAAGGAATTTTGAAGAAATTAATAGGAATTTTTCTTAATATTCTCTTCTAGAGAAGAAATGCCATGGGTTTAATCCTTAATTCCAAGTTGTCAAGATTTAGCTCAGGTTTGGTAGCAATTTTTCACCCAAAAAAATCAAATTTTTGACCGTTATTTTATTATTTCAATCGTCATTTTTTACTTCTTCATCACAAGTGAGACTCACTTTTCTCTTTAATGGTCAAAAAATCAATTCTTATAATCAGTACCAAACAAACCCTTAACTAAAAAGTTTGTCGTGTTTGATTTCTGTTATAAATGTTTAATTTTTCATTATTTGGAGAGATTATAGTTAGATGAGTGGTGAATGGGTAATTATATGGAACGATTTGTGAGTAAATAGTAACAATATTAAAGTCCAACGAGGAATGATTAAATTTACTCGATTCACTAACATCGCTAATTCCTTATTTTGTGCGAAAAATTGCAGCAAATGCAGGTGGTTCATGCCATGACAGCGATAATCCATATTTTACCATAACAATACAACGCCACAATTCACCTACATCCAAAAGCAACTGGGTGGTGAGTTATGCCCACTATATACATATATATCTTCATCTTCTTCCATAGTTCATATATAACAATTTTTTTTTTTTTGCTTGTGCTTACATTATATGGATGTTTGGTTAAGTGAACAAATAAGTTATAAAAAATAAACAATTTTTGCTTCATCAAAGTTGGAAATAAGTAAAATAACTTACTTTGAAATTAATGTTTACATTTATGTCAAAATAGTTTGCTCTTTTTATTTTACTCGGTAATTCACTAATTCATAAGGATAGAGTAGCTTATACAGATATGTTTACAAAGAAAATTTACGTACAAATCTTTGTATACTCGATTTTGGATATTGTATAATTTTCTTTAAGCTCATATTTTGTTACATATTTTTCATCATTTTGCATGTATTTATTTTTGTTTTGCAAATGATTTGCCGCGCCTGACTAGTGTTTGTCGCTGCGTAACGGAGATCGACCTGCCCGATCAGGTCGAGGGGGCAGCACCCCCCATGGGGCTCGGGGGCAACGCCCCCGAAAGAGAATTTTATTTTCAGAAGTTTTTGAATAGGTGCATTTGTTTGTTTTTTAACAGTCATCTCCAGTAGATGTATGCAAAGATTTCAAGGGATACCTATTCAAACGGTTGCCTCAATTTTTATAAATTCTGGGCGAATTCTCGTTTGCAAAACACATTAAAAAACTTATTCTTCTTTCTTTCTATTGGCATCAATCAGTTATTTTTGAATATCTTCTTGATTTGATCAAATAGTCACAATTTGAATCAAACGTCTCCATTGTATTCTGAGAGAGATTTTCTATCATACCCCAATTGTGACTTTGTTGGATAGAGGAGAAACATCTCTTAAAAGATAACGTTTTTTCGTGCCTTGAAATTAATTAAGTATTCAGATTTCCCTACATTTTCTTCAACATATTTGAGCCCTATTTTGGTGAAAGAACGTGATTGAAAATAAAATTTTGAAAAAATGGGGCTGAAATGTAGGTTCGCAATATTCTTTTCCTTTCAATTCTTGCTCTTACTCTAGTTTATATAGATTAGTGCACTTGTTGGCAATACCAAGTTTACTAAAGTAACAAAAAAATTAGTCGAACATGCTTGTAACGCGGTGCTTCATTTTTATTTTTTATTTCTTTACGTACGAGCATGTTGATATTCCGAATTGTGCAATTATTCCTTAAATTCATGAATTTCAGCATATCCCAGCAGAATTTTGGAGATCAAACTGCCTGAATAAGAAGAGTAGCGTAAATCTAAGTGATCCTTCTGGCAAGAAATGGTTAGTGGAACTAAAATTTTACGAAAGTGCTGGTAATAATCGTGCTATGATGTCTCGTGGCTGGAGACAGTTTTATGAATCCAACAAGCTCAGAATTGGAGATGTTTGCACTTTTGAACTCAATCACAACCCAGAAGGGTCCACTGTTGCTTCAATGAATGTGCATATTTTCCCAGCTTCAAATTGAATGCCAAATTCTGTCACGTTTTGTAATCCTTTGGTAAGGAAGATTTGGACATTATTGGCTTTTTTTTTTCTATTTTTTTTTTTTTTTTTTTTGGGAGCATTTGATGTTAATTTCAGTGTCGAAAATCTTTTATCATGTTGTGTACTATGTAAGGTTTAATTTTTCATCAAAAGTCTCAAATGTGCACTAATTTCATAAATAGATGTCGATAAAATCTGATGTTAAAAGATTCATCTACTTAGATATTATATCGCAAAGTCTAAACATTTCACATTGAGAGAGATTTTACTTTTAGATATTACATTTTACCTTCAACTTTTCTTCCTCAAACTCAAACATAAAGGAGATCATGTCTACCTATTTTATTTGTTTGGACATTATGATTTTATTAAAAAAAAAAAATTTGAAATTGTTAACTTATTTCAATGAATTACATTGGCGTTCGAGTAAATTGGTCAAGTTGTTACTTGTTCGTATAAACAAAACGAATGGTACCTTTGATTTGCTTTCTTTAGAATATTTCCAAAAGGCAAAAGCCACTGTGACAATCCCTAGAAGTCCAAGGGTTGTCACCCAAGAATAACTCTTACCGAAAAAAGGTCGTATATGGTTTTACGAAATACTTCTGGGTAATTTTTGCAGAGAATAATCATTTCCACTTCTCAATCTACATGATCTCCTTTGCCATTGTGAAATTTATAACTATCTTACCCTTTTCCTTCTGATCTATAAGCAGGACCTGCCTAAAGCTTTTCGTAGAAATCTAATAGTACTGCTTTTGAGAAAGAATAATATAGTAAAGAGGGAAAATCCATATTTCGTCTTAAAAATGAAACACCACAATTTCATCCGTAAGGAATGGCTATGTACTGAAATCTTTTCATAGTTTCTGTATAACAAAATTCCATTCTTGTGCTTAGATTATATGGATGTTTGGCTAAGCTTAAATAACTTACTCCTACGTGTGATAAAAAAAAAGGATAAAAAATAAATAAATTTACATGATCAAAGTTGGACAGAAGCAAAATAAGCTGTCAAAACAGGTTTTTTCTCTCTCTCTCTCTCTCTCTCTCTCTCTCTTTTTTTTCAACTTATCAGATAAGTTCGAAGTAATCCATGCAAACATATTTGAAAACAATAAAGTAAAATTTTTTGTTACTTGTCTTTTCAATATTCTTAATTCTCTTCAGTCCTTGCTCTTAATCTTGTTAAGGTAGATTACTGCACCTGTACTCCCACGCTAACTTTTTTCCTTCTTATAAAAATAAAATAAAATAACAAAAAATTGCTTAGACGAACGTGATCTTAAGCTGATGCTTTTTTCTTATACAAAAATATTTTTCATCTTCCGTATTGTGCAGTTATTTCTGAATTTCATTAATTTCAGCATATTTATCTAAAAATCAAATGGAAATAAAATATCATGGTGGTGTTGTCATGGTGCTTCATTGGATGTGCATATTACACCAGCTCAAAATTAACTCTGTTTGGTTTTGTAACAAAGTTATTGATACTGCTTTTGTCAGGAAGAATGAAACATTGTTCGCGATTCAGGTTTTAATGCTTATCATGGAAATGTTATATGCTTTTAACTGAGTGAATTTTTAGGGTTATTATTTTCTTTTTAAGGAGTGAGTGACTGAGTGTAGGTAATGCGGGACACATAGAAGAGAAAATAATAAATAATTGGAAAAGATAGAAAATCAGGAGGATCTATGGAAACATGTATAACTTTTCAGCTCGAATGTTGAATTTTCGTCCATGAGTACAATCTAGAAACATTTTTCGGATCTGCGTAATTTTTTCGGATTATGTAGTCAAACTTTCATGGTTAAATTTCATTGTTTAGGGGCCGATTTTGACATTTTTATGTTTTTAGATAGTTTAAGGATATTTTTGTCTTTTGCAATTTTTTAGTTTTCATTTTATTTGTTTTTTCAGTTTCTTAATTTAGTTGAATATATCTATAGAATTAGAATCTCGTTTGGATTATATTTTTTTGAGTTCTTAAATACATGTTTAGGAGTTTGTAAATTAGATATTTTTTTCTTAATTAATAACATATTTTAGTTTTCCCATTAATTGGTTGATTCCTATATTTATTTGGTGGATTCCATATAGTTATCATGTCCATTCGAACGAAATTCAAGCAAACTCCCATTCATATGTCACGAACAAAACAATTTAATTATTATTCACATTTTTGTCCTGCATCAGGTGGTATTAGAGTAGATTTTCCTCGTCTCTATATCTTTGATCTATATCCATAGTTGGCATACCAATTACTACGGTATTCTTGAGCGCTCAAAATCAATGGCTTGACGATCTTACTAATCAGATCAAAGAGATTCATCAATTCTTGTTACACGTTGTTGGAAAGAATGGGCAAATCATCGACTTGGCAATAAGGAAATCAACCATGAACGAATCCCGAAGCCTGTAGTTCATAGAGAAATAACAGGAGACTTGCAGTAGAAAAAAGTGAGCCAAATGTCAAAGATAAGGAAGAGGAAGAGGAAGAATATGTTGATAAAGTTTGTAGAGAAGAACGAGGAGATTTTGTATGTATTGCCGAGAAATCTTATACTCACCTGAGTAGGAGGATTTAACTTAGCTTGAAATCATCTTTCACTCCAATGGTGCTGTTGGCAGTCTGATCATAAACAATTGTAGTTGTGAGAATCTGATCACGAAGAAGTTGATGCATCATCTGAAGCTGCCAAACGAACCAAGTCCAGATCTTTATTGAATTGGATGGATTAAGTTGGCTGACTCAAATTTGTAAGATACCTTTGTCATTTGGGACTTGTCACAATCAAAGGTTATTTGTGATCTTGTCCAGTTGGATAGGTGTCATATTCTATTAGATTGATTGTGTCAAATTGATGTGGATGCCATACATAAGAGTAGAGAAAATGCCTAAAAGTTTAAGTGGAAGGATAAAAATATTACGGTTGCGCCAAAATAGAAAGCACATGAAACTTCTATAGTGGAAAGGAAACATTTTATGACAATTATAAATTCAAACAGTGAGTTTTCCTCTGATAAGCTTTTGTATCTAGATAACAACTGAAGCTCGAGTTTGTTTTGAAGTAAAAGGGAAACAAAAAATCATAAATAATTGAAAAAAAGAAAAGATCAGGAGGATCTACGAAAACATACATAACTTTTGGGTGGCCGTTTTAACATTTTTATGTCTTTAGATGGTTTAAGGATATTTTTGTCATTTACGATTTTTTATTTTAATTGGATTTTTTTTTTAGTTGAATTTATTTATAGAATTAAAATCTCATTAGTATTAGGATTTGTTTTGAGTCCTTAAATATCTGTTTAGGAGTTTGTAAACTAGACATTATTCTCTTGATAGATAAGATGTTTTCCAACTAGACATTATTCTCTTGATTGATAAGATGTTTTCCCGTTAATTAGTTGATTCCAATATTTATTTGGTGGATTCCATATAGTTATCACACCCTTTCGAGTGAAATTAGAGTAAACATTCATTCGTGTGTTACGAACAAGGCATTTTCATTATGATTCACATTTTCGTCCTACATCAAAAGAGAATGAAAGGGAAGACAAAGGAAGATATGAACCCCTGAACGTTTAAACTCAATTCCAAAAAACGACGATTCTTAGCCTACTGGGACGAACATGGTGAAGGCCAACAAGATTTTTAAATTTCATTTTTTCTTATTATTATTATTATTATTATTATTTTTTTTTATTTTTTTTCCTATTTACATTGTGGTTTTACTCACTTATCCACCAAAGCCACATGATGATATATCACGTTATAGCAGAACTTTTAAACAAAAATAGTCTCTATTAACCCAGTTGTCAAGAGAGAACCAAAATGGAATGAAAAATCTAAAGAAGACTAATCACACGATTTTAACTTTGTGATTTTTAATTATTATTGTCAAATCTAAGCGCCTGCTTGGAGGGATTTACCAAGATTTGAAGTCATTTTATGACCATTGACAACTCAAAAATGGACCCTATTGCTATCAGGTATTTACTTCTATCATTTTGAAATTATCAACTAAAATGATAAAAGTCTATGTTACCCTTTTTATTAATTTGAATTACTTATACATATTTCTTCCGATCATCATATTTGACTATATGTATTTCGTCCAATCATCATATTTGACTATTTTAAAGGGCATATTTGAAATTGATGATAATTTATTCAAAATGCAATCAGAAGCAATAGCTACATTGGACCCACTCCTGAGTTGCCAACGGTCATAAAATGACTTGATAGCTTGAAAAAATGCCTCCTAGACATGGTCTAAGAGCATCTTCAATATCAATATGAATTATTAAAAAGATTATCAAACAAATTAAAAAATATATATACCTCTATAAATTCTAAAATACATGTCTAGAATTATATAGAGCTAACTCTTTAAGAGACAAACGAGACACCACAATTTAATATTTTCCTCTTTATCAAGTTTCTTATTTTTCCTCTCTTGTTTATTACTATCTTATCTCATTAAGCCCATGTTTGGTAAAAAATTAAATTAAAATTTTCGTGAATTTTGATTAAAAAAAAAGACATTATGAAATATATAATTGAAAAGTTAAACAAAATGCTTAATTAAATTAACTGTTAACTTTCACTTGAAATTTTAATTGACTATTAGTATTGGCTAAATATATACATCTTCACAAAGATAAATTTATTTTTATTTTCACACAGATTAAAAATATAATTAATATAGTCAAAAAATATAATTTTCCTACATTTTTCTAATATACCCTCAAAATAATTCAGATTTATTGATAACAAGGCATATTAAATATGAACATATTAGAAAACTTAAAAACTCACTACACTCAAAAAAAGACCTATAACTTGGGATAAATAAAAAGGAAAAACAAGTATATTTTCATTGAATAGATGGAGCCTTAAAGATGAAATTTTACTGCTGGGTACGATTACATGCTAGATAAGGGCCCTTTTTTTATAACTAAAGAATTTCGACAAAAAACTGAACCGAAATCATTTCATTCACTTGACAAATCAAAAACCGTTGAAACAAAAATGAAACTACAATGATGATTTGAAAATGACTTTCATGTTTTTGGGAACTAAACAATTTAATTCAGATCACAAAATCGATAATGACAATTTCACATACCAGGGAATTAAATTCATTAAACCAGCTGAGATACGTAATATGAAGGCAATAAATATTATCATCCATCCTCGACGGACACTTCAAAGCATATAAAATGAATTCAAAACTACTTTAAAAAGGCAGCCAATCCCTCCCCGAAGCATCCAGTGTACCTTTTCAACGCTCATCGTTCATTTCTTGTGTGTGAAAAATTACTCTTCGTTCTGACTTTCATCTTTAACAAGCTTGATCATGTCATCGATACGAAGAATAGTTATTGCTGCTTCAGTTGCAAACTGACCAATGAAAAAAAAAAAAACATGAAACATTTAATCAGACGTTTATAATGTGCTAAAAAGCTCAAATTTCATATTACAGACACGCACCTGTATTATCTTCACTTTGCTCATTGCAGGCTCAATCACTCCTGCTTCTAAATTGTTTCGTACAGTACCCTTCACCAGGTCAAGACCCATGCTGCAACCGTAAGGGGAAGGAATGGTCAGAGAACATCTTGAAAAACGTTAAACCAGTTTGACAAAAAAATAAAGAAAGAAAAACCGTATAAGAACAAAAAATCTTAATTTATGACAATAATGTAGGTTCCTCATTAAAGTTTCCCATCAAATGAAATAAAGAATAGCGTTAACAGGAAGGGGGAGGTTCCAAGAACTGAAGGATCCGATGTTATGACCAATGCAGATCGTATGTCTAGACATTCTTTCCTATTTACCATAGACAGTTGCGTCTGCTAGAAGATCTAGACAACTCGATCATCAAGCTCTAAACAGGGATACTAAGTACATATACTTCTTTTTCGTCATCCAATATTCTACTCATCACCAGGTATATCCTCACGAATGGTTAATATATATTCACAAAGAAACAAAATTGAAACTGAATTTGAATCACTGCTAAAGAATATTAGCAATCCATTGGACCAATACTGGGTAGAAAAGGCTAGAAGAAATGTAATACTTGGTAATTTCAGAATCAAACTACAATATGCTGGAGCCAAACCTTACATTCTTTAAAAACAAAAATCGATCAAGTACCTTGATAAATGCTTCTTATCTGCTTTGGTTTGTGCAGTGTGGTGGTAAGCACGTAGCTTAGCAACCAACTCAGTTGCATCTTTAGCAGCATTCACAGCAAGAACCTGCAGAGAAATATTCCAAAGTTTGTTAAGAAATCCAAAGACGAGCTATGAGAATAAGAGATTGATCTGAGAGTTAAATATTTTTGCTTCATGGATGACCTTCGGTATAATTAGTAAAGATTCCGCAAACTCTGCAATAGCCAGCTGTTCCCTAGATCCAAGAGTAGTGGCTAGGTTTTCCAGATAGACAGATAAGGCAGCTTCAGCAGCTCCTCCACCAGCAACTACCTATGTTTCGATTATATTGCAAAAAATCAAGTGAAACGTTGTCCTGAACCTTTTTTGTTTTTCTATTCAGGCTATAAAACATTAGCTTTCCCATTTGATGAAAAAATCAACCAGCCAAATACGTGAAGCCCATGCAGGTCGATTATACCTACCAGGAGGTACTTATCTATATAAGAATCACTTAAAACAATGGCAACATTTTTATCCATGACTGCATTTATACGTAATTGCTTAATTATACTAGTTTTTCCCAATTCCAAAGAAAACTCGTGTGGTTTTCATTTATGAAGATATTGATTTACCTTAAATGATGTAAAAACAGGTACAAGCCCATAGTAAGATTAAAAAAACAAAAAAAGAACTGCTGGGTGTAGAAGATTTGATAAACAGAAGGAATGAATGGTGACAATTGACAACTGAGAGCAACAAAAACAAGGTTAATCTTCAGAATAGAATACAGCAACCATCAGGGTTTACCGTATTAGATTCCAGAGTTCTTTTGACAATGGATATAGCATCGTGCAAAGCCCTGTCCATCTCGTCGAGCATGAAATCATTGGCACCCCTGAGTATCAATGAGGCCTGAAGAAAACATATGATTCAGGCATATCAAATAATCCTCTAAAAATGTCCAAGTCAAAATGGATCATAAATCTTGATCTTGACCATTTGTCAATGCTTTGAATAAAAAGAAACGTGGTCGAGTTGAAACACATATGAATAGACCCACAATGGCACCCGTTCAAGGGGTGGCAAACTCTAGAACTAAAAACTAAACAATAAGGTTTCAGAAAATATAATCCATACCGCACTGCTAGTTTTGGTCCCTTTTATCATAATCACATCATCATCGGCAATACGTTCTTCCACTACTTCATCAGCATAACCAAGAAGAGACGAATCAAATGTTTCTTCTCCTTCCATATCTGCAAATGTCGAAACCTGCAGCATTGGAAAAGAATAAAATGGTTGCCCATCAAATACCAATAAAATCTATTTATGAATGAATTGCAGTTTTCTTATTTTCCAAGTCTTTCAACTCTTGACTTAACTAGGATACAATTAAAACAAAAACAGAGTTTGGAAGTTCCATTGGCTCAAATTTTTCTCGTCTGTATCCATATTTACAACAACGTTCATTAATACAACATTAAGTGAACATCAATTGTAAGCACAAACAAGTAATATAATTGTCTATCAATTTACCAAAAGGCCAACATAAAAATCCTTAAAAGACTTTCTAGCACATAAAAACTTCAAGATAACCAGAGGCAGCGGTAGCTGGTCAACCTAAAAATTGATATTCTTATTTATTAGTATAATATGAACAGAACAAGACGTGATGCAGACAGAAGCGAGCAAGGCAATAACACGATCACAATTCGTTGATTCGCACAAGAATACTGATTTGAATTGAGAAATTGGAGACAATCTCATAATAATAAGATTTTATTAATTAAAACAAAAGCCACCTCCATGACACTGCCAGCTCCTCTATTATAATCATTATTATAATATCATACCCAAGTCCCTAAATTAAAATTAACAAATAAGGACATATAATTAAATTACTAGAAATAATGCCTCTTCGTTCAACTGTAGCACATATTCACCCTCATCACTCTCTCCTGCGTAGACCTAATTAAAAAATTCCTCTCAACATGCCGTCGGACTCCTATATTTCAACTTCAAAACCACCTCCCCACCGCTAGGTCTGGACAAATCTCCCGACCCGAACCGAGCGGTTCTTCTTAAATTAAATACCCAAACGGATATCTGAATTGAGAGCCGACGGATTTTGTTTTAGGTCAAGAACCGAATAAGAACCAAATCTCCCTAGTTTTTTTAATTAATTTATTTTAAATAAGTCAAATTATTTTATTTTTTAAATAAATTTGCTAACTAGTTAATTTAGTTCAAACCCAAAAATATGATTTTCCTATTTCTAATTTTCAGTTCAAAGCTAACTTAATCAAATTAACCTAATTTTTATACAAATCTATTACTCTACCGTAATGTCATTTCTACCATTCTAGAGAAATCGAATTGAAGTTTGACAATGCCTCTCTTAATTATTTTGAGCTTACTATCTTTCTCTTCCTGTGATTTTAACAATCAAATCTATGAAAAACTCATTAAAGAAAGACGCAAAAAACACATAAGATTGGATTACGTTATTTTGTAAAAGCTAAGATTGAGCATATCATTTGTTGAATTAATATAACTTTGTAAATATTAAAAAATTTAATTATAACACAAAACTTGGGAACTGAACCGAACCGAGGTAAACTGAATGGATATGAACCTGAACAGTTTCATAATTAAATTTGGATCAGACGGTTCCACTTACTAAATACCCGAAAATTTTGAGTTCGATTCTGTTCTCGTTAGAATCAAAATGGACCATATACCGCTTTAAACCTTGCAGAGCGTGTCCAGGCCATTGATAGGGCATACCAAATTCGAAAGGATTGGTTACTGTTTTGGACCCCCTGCTTCTCGTGTCAAATCCCTAGCCGTTATTCCATGTTATGAACGTTACCGCTCCACTACTAGTCATGATTCACCCAATCATTTCCCCTTGTAGCAACACTAAACATGCTGCCTTTTTGAAACAGGTAGTTCTCCATTACCCCCTCTCGCATGCTGGTTAGTTGCTACGCCTTCTATCGCATCGTGTCATCTTCCACGGTCACCCTTTCATGCCACTACCTAACCCCCAACATATTGTGTTGGGTCAAATCTATGTCGATACAGTGGTTAAACGAAATGATATTTTGTTGAACTTGCATCCTCCCTCCAAACTCCATTCATGGTATGATTGTGAGTGTAGGGTCGTCTCCTCAGCGGTGTCTATGAGAATCGCAACACGACTCTGAAACTAATGCAGATAGAAGCGAGCAAGACAATAACACACCATCGTAATTCGTTAATTCATGCACGAATATCAATTTGGAAGAAAATTGGGAAAAAAAAATAACTCACAATTACATTATTTTATTAATCAAAACAAAAGCAACTGCCATGGCATTGCAGGCTCCTATTTTATAATCGCCATAATCAGATTGCAACTTACTAAAATATTATATCCAAGTCTTTAAACTCCTAAAATATAGCAAAAAAAACACCCATTAATAAATAATAATTACAAATCACAAATAAAAATAAAGGCTCTTTGTACAACCGTAGGACATATTCATCCTCATCACATGTACATCATAAATATAAAAAGAATTATCTTTGATGGAGATGGAGATAGAGTTTAAAGAGAATTCTAAAATAATGTTTAGTTCAAATTTAGATAAGATTAGTTATGATATTTCAATATTGTTTTAGTTGTGTAGAAGTTCGTTTGGTTTGATGTTCTTTCAGTTTCTTTACTCTATAAATAGAGGGCTTGTTTAGTGTAATAGTCAACCCTTGATTATATGAATAAATTGATATCTTCTATTGCCCTCAATTCTCCTCTTTTTTGTACCCCTTTCTTTTCTTGTTTGTTAACAAATTATATGCTCCTGCATTAGTCTTTCTATTTTTTGCGATTTAAATCCAAGTGAACTTTTAAACAACCGCTGAGACAGGAAAAATCACCCAAAAACTACCAAAAACTCATCACTCACTACAGTAGAAAACGTCAGATTTCCATTTCCCTACATGCTGGTTTATGACAGTTTTTTCTTTTTTATCTTCTTGGCCCCTTTACTGACATTCTGAACTCTAGCAAATTTACAAGACTTTTGAGTCTATAACTGATCCTAGTCATGTCAGAGCTGAATCTTTCTCTTAATATTAAAAACAAAGATTGAAAGGAAAACTATTGAAGACAGGAATATATATGGTATCTGATAAAAAGTCAAGAAATATACCGCAGTTGCACCAGTAGCCTTGGCAACATGGCGCAGGTCCTCCTTGCGAACACGTCTCACAGCAATGGCACCAGCTTCCACAAAGTACTGGAACAACATGAAGTCAGAATTTAGCAAATTTTCAACAGAAATAATACAAGAAAATCTGAGAAAAATGTAAAGACAAATTAAAGAGTAAAAAAACAAGGTTGATGTCTCAAAGACAGTCTGATAACAAGAGGATTTTCCTACACAGAAGATATTCCTAACAGCTGCATAGCTTCCAAAGATGCTGCTAATCTGCTGGTACAAGTATTCTAAATCGCATGGTCTATATGACGGGTCAAATACAAATTAATGGATGTCCAATCTTCAGCGAATAAAAATAGAGCTTAGATGTTTATGAGACACATATTTCCATAATCACTTGACACAAACAATCAAATGATATAAAGAATATTAAAAGGAATCAAATCAAGGGAAAGACTTGCCTTAAGTGCCATGTCATCGATTCCTTTAGTGGTTAAAACAACATTTGCTCCAGCCTTTAGAAGCTTCTCAATACGCTCCTTTGTCATATCAGCTTCTCTGCAAGAAAACACTCCTGTTAAGTCCAGTAACCTACTAAGTAGCAGAAGTTCAAAGAGCACTATATTATAAAGATTTAAATTGAGGAACAGCAGTGCTGCCTACAAAGCTGTCTCTTAGCAAGCATAAGCACTGCCAGAGGGAAAAAGACACAACAGCATTTCAAGAGCATGTACTATGAAGAAATTATTAGTTTTGATATAATACAGAGGCATAAAATTACATCTTTTACTCCATCTATGCATGCCGACCTAGTAGATAAACAGAAAACGCTATACAGAAATACCTACAATCCTATGCACAAAAGTTTAACAGAGCGCGTAAATTGTCAAAAGTACTTTAATTTATGCTACAATAACCATTCAAAGGATCATAAAATTAATCACCTCTGACGAATCTTTTCCAATTCCCTGGGATCAGTGACCAAAACCTGGACGCCCATCTGCATTTTAGTCCTCTGAAGATTGAAGTCAAGACAAGCAATCCTTGCAGGGGCAACTCTCATCGGCATTCCCTGGGCAGCACGGCCAGTGTTGAGAGCATATCCTTTTAACAGATAGCTATCTCTAGCACTTTTTCCATGGGCTTTAAGAATATTAATTCCCTGAAAGGAGATGAAATTATTACAAATCGGATATTGCAAATTAAAGGTTAAGAGGATCTTGACAAGAAAAAATTCATTTATTCTTCAGGGGAAATTATCAATTCTAAATCCACAAAACATGTGACGTCCTCTTACCCATTGATTGGCACCATAGAATAGAAGTATTCAAATAAAATCCAACATAAAGCTCACTGGATTTAGTAACATGATAACAGAAAAACCATCTCTACAAAACAAGCTAACAAATTTAATACTAAACCATGAGCCACCAACCTTGATTGGATATTTAACTTCTCCCCTCGCATTTGTCATCTTCACTGCTTGTACAGCTTCAACAACCTAAAAGCAAAAACAGGTTGCATGGTGATCCTTGAGAAAGATACAGTCATTAGGAGAGAAGGCAGTCCTTATTGCACAAAATCAAGCAACAGAATAGAGAAACTCACACATGACAGAAGATTCAAAGTACAATAAGGTAGAAGGAAAATGGAGAACCATATACTTGTAAGTCTACTCAAGCAACACAATTTAAAGCAGCAAATCTAGGGTGAAATTCAAAATTAAAAATATATCTTCAGATTGAAAAATTGACCTTATAGAAACAGGCATTACTTCAACAGGTTATTGGCTGCAGACAGAGACTATAAAAGCTATATAATCAGACAATCTAAAAGTTTTATGTTCCAACAAAACAGCATGATAACAGCTGAAGAGGTGTTGATAAAATACAAAACTTGACAGATGTATCGCACATGACTGGGAAACAGGAGAAAAACTCGCAGTTGTTAAAGTACAAGTTTAATAAATGCAATTTCAGAAACATTGCACCAACAGTTTGCTACTCAGTGGAGCACAAACTCCACAGAGTAACTTGTAACTTCATCTGTTGCTTGCAAAAGAAAACAAGAAAGAATGGGCAGTACCAGATTCGCAAAGAAGTCGCTGTCACCACCTATCAACTTCGAGGACATGCTGGTCTTGGCACTATTTACAAGAGAATCTTTACCAAGTTTTTCAACCTAAAAAGAGAAGGAAAAAACTGTTAAGATCAATCCATTTTGATTCATCACATCAACACATGCAAAGCAGAAGCCCAGCATCCTTTATCAGTATTCATAAACATTATCCTTGAATTATAATAACCACCATTCTGGAACATTTTTTCTTAAAAGAATGGGAAAGATAGCGGTAAATTATGTGAGCTATCTATGTTATGACACTGCGTTTGCATTACATTAGATAGTAGCAGACTTCAAAGATCTCTGTAGTTTTCGTTGTGTTGATTCAAACTCTCACAGAACTATAATAACTATTTAAAATAGATAAAAACTGATAACAACTCCAAAGGAATCCATTCACAGAGGGATTAGGGATTATTACCTTCACAGCCAATTTTTCATCAACATATTTGCATGCTTCCCTCATGGCAAGCTGCCACCAAATTAATTTTGATGAGTAAAAAGCCATAGCATAGATGAGCACCAGAACAACGAAGTAAAAGATGAAATTTCAATTACTACAGATAAAATCCTATTGAAGAAGAAGAAAAGTATCTTAGAGTTCTTTACGCACTCTGTATCCACTGATTATTGATGTTGGGTGGATTTTATTTCTGACCAAATCATTAGCTCTCTGCATAATAATTTCAAATTAGCAACAAGGGATAATTTGGGTGAAGATTGAACACCAAGCACATGAAATGAGAAAATAAATGTTTTATACGTAAAGCAAACAGGAAATAAAATATTACCTTAAGCAATTCTGCAGCTATGATCACCACAGATGTTGTCCCATCTCCAACTTCCCGGTCTTGAAGTTCTGCCAGCTCAACAAGAACCTGTTACATCAGAAGAAGTTAATTCTCATATGTTTCAAATGTTTAATATTGACAAATGAGCAAGAAATGTTGCATCCATAGACCTTGGCAGCTGGATGTTCAACTTCCAGCATCTTCAGTATCGTAGCACCATCATTAGTTATTGTCACATCACCAATATCATCAACAAGCATCTGGGAAGTACCAAGACCAGATAATCAACAAATATAATTCCATGTCAATTAAGTTCAAAGTTCAAAGTAAAAAGGTTAAATATATAAAAGTGAACACACCATTGGACCCAAAATCTTCGTCTAACAAGTTGACCTATAAAACAATTGCTTGCTAGCAATCATGCATTAAAATATGCAAAAAATGAAACAAAAATAGCCCTTACTACAAGGAGAAAATCTGCATTTCCTATGCAGAGAAGATATTAAAATCAAAAGTTATCATCAACAAACATCATCTGAGCAGTATAGGAAACCAGAAAAGTAGAAAAATAGGGTTAAAGAGCTAACTATACAATAATAAACCTTTATGTTACAGGTTTACAGCACATAGAAAGACGGTCATATAATAGAACAAAAAATATAAAGAAAATTGGTGCAGAAGGAATCATCTTGTTACATAAATCAGAGCACGACGCCTAACCTGCAGCAATTACCCCTAGGCCTTATAGATGAGGGGCAGATTAAAAATTTTACATCGCACAAAGTTCAACTTTCGGATTTTATGTAATGCAAAAGATGGTTCACAAAGGTAAGATATATCCCTTAATAATTTTCCTGCAGAGTTTCTTCTCATTTTTAGGACAAGCAAATATAAAATACAAAATGGGTATTAATGCAGGTTCACAGAAACTGGAAGTCGAGGGATAACATGAAATCTTAAATTGTTGGAGATTTGGAATCTTATTTTAATGTAGAGTTATTTATTCCAAATATCATAGTAAATAAGAATCATGAATGATAATTTCTTTTACTAGGACGCTCCATTAGTTCCATGACCAATGTGCTTTGCACCGTGCATTACAGAGTGGCCACTTAAAGAGAACACCAGAAAGATTTTATTTAGGAGACAGGCAAAAATAAATAAAATCCAAAAAGAAAAATTTCAAACAATCTCGGCTTCCTCAGTCCCCAGTTCTCAATTTCAACTATTAAGTTTGTATTCTCCAATTACCATTCCCAGGACATCAGGACCATCGAATTTGTCGTTACTGCACACTGGATGCGAAACTAGGATTGTACGGTGTCACTTTTCATGATGCTAATCTCGTCCAAGTATAATCAAGTAAAGCATTTCACCAACCTAAGGAGAGCTAGTAATTAATGAAATGTGGTAGCCATATTTTGAATCTTTCCACCATGGATGGTACTTTTCAGAATATCATTATAATAGTAAATAAAGTAAAGATACAGTATTTTGCTCCGGTTGTATATTCTGAAAAAGTATATTTGGTTAAACATAATGAGTTTATGGTAATGTTCAGGAAGTCATAACAATGCACCATTCTAAAAAACTGAAGGTTTTTGAAATAAGTTTAGTCCTAGATTGGCTTAGTACAAGAAATCACAGGTTCAGGTCATGAAAATGAGAGAGATTGCAGTCACAGGGGCACAAGAAATCCACATGTATGACTAAGACCCATATATTGTGGATTAGCATCCAATTCAAAAAGCATGTATACGATAGTAATTCATATACTTACCTCTAGAGCTAATTATAGTTTACTCCATATGTGAACTTACAGTTATTTTACTTTTATCCTTTTATAATTTTATTTAGTCCCCTTAAGAAGACCATAGAGAGGACAGAACTTGGAATCTCTAAACTAAGTGTTTGTTTGGTAGGGATTTTAATAATTGATTTTTTGACCGTTAGAGATAAAGTGGGTTCTTCCTGTCATAGAAGAATTCAAAAAATGACGACTGGAATAAGAATTCAAAAATGACGACTGGAATAATGAAATAACGGTCAAAAAATTGATTTTAATTGGCTTAAAATCTGTACCAAACAAGCACTAAAAGAGAGATGGTGGGGATGAAGGGTGTGGACTTATTTCTCTATCCTTCGAATCTACCTATACTATGTTACCAAGGAGACTAATAAAACTCCAACTCATGATTGTGCCATTTCCTGCTATACTACTAGAGATCCAAATCAGAGGGACAGGTGACTATGGCGGACAAAACCATAAACTCAGAAGTTGTAGCTCAATACATAGGCTACGTAAAGGCTAATGGATATTTGTAACCATTGTTCTATGAACTCTACAACATTTTCCATCAACATCTTTCTGAACCCAGAATAGCACAGTGTTCAACAGCCAGGATTTTAAAATGAACACACTACAAGCTTCTAAAGCACAAGTTGATAAAAAGCATTTCCTAGTACTAGAAGGGTTTTAGTTAATATTACAATCAGTCAACCACTTGGTTAATTACTGACTTACTTCAACTCACAACCCAACAACTTCAGAAAAATATGAAGGCAAAAATTTAGAGGAATTGCATATAACCCAAATGAATTGGCTGAGTGTCTTTTTCTCCTAGTATAGTCTAAGATCAGTAGCATAAAAACAAAGGCAACTGTAAACAACATATCCCTCTTAAACACTATGGATCAAAACTTCCGTCATCTTCATTTCACGACAGTCTTATATATATATATATATATATATATATATATAAAAAGAAAAAATAATAATAATAATAATAATAATAATCAACTTCACGTAAATATAAATCTAAATCTATATATTCGTGCGTTTTATATACCTTGTCAAGGCCAACAGGCCCAAGCGAAGATTTCACAATGTTTGCAACTGCTTGGCAAGCCATGACTGCACATTTCCAAAAGCAAAAATAAATATATTAACAAAAAAAAACTAAATGACAGGCATAAATACATATCAAGAATGATGAAGTACCATTTTGAGTGCGAACGTCCTGGCCAGATTGTCGTTCGCCAGAAATATCAGGAGTCCGTGATGTAAATGCCATTTTCTACTGAAATTAGAAGTAAATTCAGGAAATTGGAAGTACAAATACAGAATCTACAAGAGATTGAGGGTGAGATTCAGAAAATGAGAGACAAATAGGTATCTCCAGAAAGTTCCGCGCTTGAAGGATGGAGAAGCCTCAACGTGCGTATTTTGTGAGGGTTTGAAGGAAAGAGGTTTATAGTGAGCCAACGACGTCGTATCACAGTGGCTTGGTATATGTTAGCGCTGGGCCGCTACTTATTGAAAAGTTTTTGATGGAGCATCATCTGTTACTTTACAAAATGGAGTCCAATGGGCCATCAAAATGAGACCAATTGTCCTGGACACATTTGCTAGCCCGTGAGCGACAAATGCACGATGAGCCCTTGTTTGGTTTCTATTATTTTCTAAATAGATTTTTCTCTCTTATTTTCAATAATATATTTTTAATAAAATAATATTATACACAAATCAAAAAAATTTCTTATTTTTTAATCACACATTCTCCATCAAAATGTTATTCCAAAATACATTTTTGACAAGAAATGGGGCTCAAACATGCTCTAAAAATGGTTTTTTGATATATTACGGAATACCCCCTATCCTTTCAGATTGAGAAAAAATCTTTTTTTTTTTTTAATATCCAGGTATCTCAACTTACACTAGATTAAATCCTGGACCCCCAAGACCCTTGCCCCTAGAACCTTGGAGGGGGTAAATCACGGGTTATGCTTCAACTAGATCACGGGTTATGCCTCAACTAGAGATCCCCCCCACCGCCTGTAAACTTCTGCGCACAAGAGATCCATCTCCAAAGTAATTGTTCCATACCAAATAAATCTGGCCCCAGGTTCCCACTAAGATTGGAACTTCCACTCTACCGCTGGAAGCAAGACAAATGTTGATTGATCCACCAGTTGAGCTGTGCCTCGGGGGGCAAGAAAAAATCTCTTATATGACCTTTGAGATGCTAAAGACTCCACTTTCTTCTATTTTCTTAATAAAATCTTATGAAATGACGAATATATCCTCTTATTTAAATAAAGCAAAAATTTTAAAAAAAATTAATTTCATCTATAGTTCGAAAAATTTTCGAAAAAGTACAAACGAGTCCAAATAAATAATTAAAATTTTTAAAAAAAATCATTTTCTCTACCATCCACCCATCTTCCCCACTCACCACCAACATCAGCAGCAGAAAACAATCCTCCATAGGCAACTCAACTTCATCTTCATCTAAGAACAAATCCTTAATTTACGAATACCATAGGCTTATTCCTAGGGATGTAAACGAGTTGAGTCGAGCCGAGTCGATTTGCAAGTCAAAATTTGCGGATCAAGCTTCTTTTGGTTCAAGTCGAGGCTCGACAAAAAATGGGGTTCGGCTCAAACCTGTCCAAGCTGACTCGTTTTTTCTGAAATTATAACTTTTTTTTAAGGCAATCATAGCTGCTCTCAACTCTCCAGGTTGGTAACCCTCACCTCATTTGGTAAAGAAGTAAGCCCCATAGGGAAAAAAGAAAAATGGCATTTGAATAATATATAATTATATTAGCCCCATATTAATTCGTATCTCCTCTTTGAGATGCCAAATCATACTTCAAAAGGTAATTGGCCAACAAATGATACTTTAATATTTCCTTTTACAGTCGAAATACTAAATGAACTTCCAAAACAGAGAACATTTTTAGTGCGTGTGGAAAATTTCAAAATCTCTTATAGACAATTTCAAAGGCAGCTATGGCCGCCTTTATTTTATTTTCAAGCCGCGGGCCATTTTGGCCCATGTTCGCGTGACTACAACTGGCCAACGAGCCACACGAATCAGCTCGGGACAATATTCAATAATGAGACTTGGCCTTGAGTCTTGGTTCGATTCTAACAAGCCATGAGTTGAGCCGGCTCATACTACTCAATTCAAGTAGTCGAATTGACATTCCTATTTATGCCACATCACATTAACCTTTTCTTTGGTATCGATTACGTCCTCCAACATATAGAAGTGAATCCTCCACCTTAAATGATTGGATGGTAATTTTGGGGTCTTTCTCTCTTTACATTT